TAGAACGAAAAATAAAAATATATATAATTACAAAATTTGACCAAAATATCCCTAAAAGGACTTAGAATGGTGGCTCATTTTGGACAAGCAAATGAATAAAATAAAATATGAAAATTTTATGGTAGTTGGGGCATAGGAAGAGCTTTCTTGATGTGCTAAAAAGGATCCCAAAAGGCAAGAAAAAATTGCCCAAAATTCCTTGAAAAGAGCCAAAAATTCACGTGAAAATGGGTAGGAAAATGTTTAGAAACTTTGGCAACAAGGTATGCAAATAATTAGGAACTAGTACACCTAATCATGCTTAAGAGATAAGCTTAGTACAAGTTAATTATGGCTTAATCTCAATTGGATAGGTATATTCCATGAGAACTAATTAAGTCAAGGGTGTAATGATTAAGGAATTTTGCTAAATTATTAGGAATTTTATTAATGATTGAATTTAGTTCTAACCCAAAGAAGTGTAACATCCCCATTTTTGTATTTATTATAATTGCATTTTATGCTAAATATGCACGCAATTGGATGTTGCAATTTATTCTCGCTATAGTGAGAATAAGGCGGTGGAATCAAGCTCTCTGGAGCGTTCTTGCTGCAGCGAAAAGTGGATAAGACTGCCCAAACCACCCCTTTACTACAGCAAGAGGTTTTTCCTGCAGCGAGAAATTTTGAATGGAGCAAAAATATCAAAAAAGCAGAGGAAAAACTTCATTTGATCTTTTCGCTGTAGCGAGAGCATCACGAGGCTGAGGGGTATTTAAGAGTTTTTCAACATGAAAACTTCATCTTTCACCTCCATTCACGTTCTCACCCAAAACTCTCTGAACTCTCACTTAATTCCCTCAGATTAAACCCCTTCAAACTCTAATTGTTCTTTGAATCTAAGGTTGTAAGTTTGTTCTAAGCAATTATAAGTAAATTTCTCTAAGTTTAACTCTATATTCACTGTTGGTTTCTCTTCATTTTATATTTCTGAAAGGTATCTTATGATATTTAAGAAAATCTCGATTCTAAGACATTAAACTTCATCAATCTTTTTTTAAATTTTCATTTCAAGGTAAGGGGAGCTATGCTCAAACACTAGGTTTTATTTATATGTGTAGTGATCTTGAAAGAATTGAGTTGTTATATTCCGGATATTAAATCTATAAAGTTTCACTGAAAGTATAGGGTGAGAATGGATTTTTAGTATAAGAGAGAATTTTAATTTATTTGAAATTGCTTAAAACTGAGTTTATAGTAAAAATAGTAAGCAAGAATGATTTTAAGAAGTTTAGAGACAAGTTATTCAAATTATAGATGCATAATTAATGTTGGAAGTTATCACTTCTTTGAATAGTATGTGTGTTAAATGATAAAAAGGTAGAAAATGTTAAACTTTAGGCTAGAAGACATATTTAAGATCAAGAGAATATGATCTCTAACTATATATTTCTGATTTGTACGATTGGGCTGAGTCTGAGAATGTTTGACCTTCAGCATATTGTGATGAATTGTATGATAATATGTTATTGTCTTGTGAATGTGCTGAAACAAAAGATTTGATAGTTGTGCGAGATTAGTGTGCCTATATAAGAATTACTAATGCATGAAATTGGAAAGTGTCCACGAAAGGTGTTGAAAATGAAATTTGTGGAACCTATGAAAATATTGAGAAAGTATGAAATTGATTGATTACAAAAAGATAATTTATGAAATTGAGAGTAATGTATGAAATTATGCATGTAGACTGAAAGTCGTGTATGTTATTAAATAAAAAGGAAAGTATGTGATTTGAATGATTGATCAATATGCATGGAGAAAAAGAAAAAAGAATACTAATACATGTGTTACGAAAATACCGATTGGTAAGATTATAATATTTGTGTTGTAATACATCGACGGGTCAGATTATAACACACAGGTTGTAATACATCGATTAGTGTGATTGTAACACTTGTATTAGGATGATATTATTATTGATATGCCACTGTTGAGATATGATAATGGAAAATTCAGAGATACACTTGGAGTATAGGGTCTGGAGCAGATTATGGAAATTTGGAGAAAATAAAAGTGGTAAATGTTGTTCACTGATGTGTACATAAGTAAAAGTGGGATGCATTTACAGGTCTTACACTCATTTCTTAATTGAACTCTTAACTATATATTTGCTATGAGGGTCATGAACGCACACGTTGTATCCGTATGTGGTTTGGCTGACCAGCGACTATCCATGCTGGCATAAGTCCTTCATACTTAGTAAGAATATATTGGCAATGATTTAGGGGCCCATGAGTACCTAGAGTACAGTTAATTGATGAAATGTTTAGATTTGAAATGGATAAGTGGCACAAAATTATGAACTAGATAATGATCTTTGGTTAAATGTGGAGAAACATGTGTAGGAGTGATGTTATTTGATTACAATTGTATAAATGAACAAATGAATAAAGCGGTATGATTTTAGGAATTAAAATTGATTGGATTGATTAAATGAGAAATGAATTATGTATGAATAATGGATGAATGGAGTAGATGGATAATTTTGTCTGATAAGAATTTGTTAAGAATAGAATGATTCTATTTTATTGCATGTTGTATTAAAATGTATTATTCTGATAATATTATAAAAAGAGAATTTAGTTAGGTGAGAAAAGCTCACCCTTACAACCATTTTCAGGTAAAGAAGAAATAAGTAAAGATGGATCTGTCCTAAGATCATGCTCGCAATGGATTATAGGAAGGGAACCGCTCTGTTAGGATTTAATTTATTTAGATATTGATTAAATTTCTACTTAGAGTTGATTACAATATGTAATTATTTTAAATGTTGATTTTGAAACTTATATATTTTGAGAAATTGGGTTGTGGATAATGATTCAAAGTACATGTACAATTTTTAGTAATTGATTGTTGATATCAAATTTAGCTTTACTCAAAGTGTAAATTTTAAATTTGTTCATTTTCATGGGTTCAAATTTGTAACATCCTATTTTTTTAATTTATTAATTTTGTATTTCGTGTGAATTGTTAATACATGATGTTTGAAATTAGGAGAGTTTTAGGTGTGTGAGTTTCAGGATTTCTCATTGTAGCAAAAAGTAAGCGTCCAAAATCAGGCTCTTTGACGCTCCTTTGCTGTAGGGAGGTGTCAGGCCTGTGATTTATTATTGAGTAATCTATAATATTTTATACTTGTTAAATGTTAATTGAAGGATTATTTGGTATTGGAATAGATTTAGATGGAGTTTGAAATTATTTAAAAAACAAAAAAAATGAACAGTACCGTATGAACAGTGTCAGATGAACAGTAAAACTGCCTATGGACAGTGCAAACCACGTATGAACAGTGAAAACCGCGTATGTACAGTGACTGCTGACGTCACATACACGTACAGTGCGTGTATAATACACGTGCACAGTATTTCTGGCGTGAATAGTGCCCTGAACAGTGTTTCCGGCATGAACAGTAAGGCGATGAACAGTTCGTTTCTCTTCTCCTCCTCTTTCTCATAGAAGTTCATGGTGTTCTTAGGAGAAACTTCATTCTAAAGCCGAATCTTCGGTGAATCTTGCATTAAAACAAGTAATATTCGGTAGATCTAGTGTGAATCATCTTTCTGAGGTCAGGAGAGTTTACTTTAACCTATGAACTACGTTTTGAACGGTTTAATATGCTATTTCAAGATGTTTTAATATGATTTTGTTAGATCTATTGAATAAAAGCTATTTTCTAAGCTGTAACTGCTGTTAATTGATTTAAAATGCTGAGATTTTGGCTGATCTACTATAAACTTGCCTTAATTGAGCTGTTAAAATAATTTTGGCGGTGTGCATCATGTTAAGATATGTTTTGCATCATTATAGAGCCGAGTTACATGTTTAGGTGGGTAGACATGTAATGGTAAGTTCATGCTGAGCTGTGCTGTCTGGATCCAGATACCGGAATGGGTCGCTCCCGGACCGGCTCGGTTCCTTCTGGATTACTTAGGCTGTGAAACTAGTTGGAGACCGTTTTCATGATGTGCATTAGATGGGCTGGAAATGCATGGGATTATTGCTGTGAGAAATATTTGGCTCTATATATATGATTTTATTTTAAGTTTGGTAAGCTCACCCTTGCATTTTTTCTATGTTGTTGTGTGCGTGTGTACTGCGATGATCGTACGGTGGTACGTGAGCAGATGTAGCAGGTGTTGCATCTACTTCACAGGCTGAGGGACCAGTGAAGAAATGTTAGAAGCTGGGGTCGAGTAATATTTCATCAAAGTCTTTTTTTTCCTTATATTTTGAGACTTCATGTAGAGGGAGCTACGTAGTATAATTTTGGGTATTTTGAATATTATGAACTAAATGTAATATTGTGTTGTTTTATTGGATATTTGTTGTAAGAAACTCTGTTTTATTTTGAATAAGAAGAGAATTTTATACTTATATTCTCTATACTTTATTTATTTTAAATAAGTTTGTGATGTAGAAACAATGTTCTCGGTTCCTTATAAAAGGGGTCGTAACATTTTAGTGGTATCAGAGCATGGTCTAGGTAAACCTACGGGGTGAGGTTGTTAGACGTTAGTTGTGCATATTAGACATGTGAATTTTAGCTGTGAATCATATATCATAATTTCTAATTATCAGGTTGTGAGGGAACGAGCTTGATCACCTCGGTTCTCAGACACGACAGATGTAGGAAATTTTGGTATATGATACTGGGGTGAGCTATAGGTGAGTCATACTGTGTGAATAAGAGGCTGTTGAGCTAAGTTGTAAATGATTGCTGAGATAAGTGTGTTCGCTATGCTGTGTGAATGCTGATATGATGTTATCCTCAGTGCTAACTGATTAAATTGTTATGATATACTAAATATGAATATATCACTGTAAGTTGAATCTGTGAATATAGTTATGTGATGGTATTGCTGAATGTATTAAACGTTAGTAAACTAAGCTAGTCTATATATTAGGATGGCTAAACCAAAAGATCTGCTACAAACCCTCCTCCTCCTGCTGACGTGAACCAAATGGCTCATGCCATGGAGGCCATGGCAGCCACTGTTAGGCAGAGTCTAGATATGATTCAGCAGCAGCAAGCTGCAAACCAAGCCACTGCTGCAGCACAGGCAGCAGCAGCTACTGCCTCAGCTGCACCTCCTTTTGAATACCATGGGTTGTCAGAGTTCAGGAAGAATGATCCTCCTCAATTCACGGGGGTGGATGGACCAGATGCTGCTGAACTCTGGATTAGGGAGATTGAGAAGATCTTCTTAACTATGGGTTGCGCCGAGGAGAGGAAGGTGTTATATGCTACTTATATGCTGACAGGGGATGCAGAGATGTGGTGGCACGGAGCTCATGCTATGCTGGAGGCCCAAGGTGAAGTCATCACTTGGGCTGTATTTAAAAGTAGTTTTCTGGGAAAGTTTTTCCCTTCCCATGTTCGTGCTACCAAAGAGCGGGAGTTTCTAAACTTGGTGCAAGGAAACTCATCAGTTTATGAGTATGCAATATAGTTTGAGCGGCTTTACAGATTTTATTCTCACCCGACCTCGGAGGAGTGGAGATGTCAGAGGTTTTCAGACGGGCTGAGAACTGACATAAAGAGGATTTTAATCCCACTAAGGATCACAGAATTTGCTGACTTGGTGGATCAAGCCACCATTATAGAGAGTCTTAATGCAGAGGATGTTGGTGGAGTTGGGAAGGCTCCATCTAGTAGAGCTGCTAGTAGCTATGGTAATGGAAGTAAGGGTGCTAAGAAGGGCCCCTACAGTCGGTCGCTACGCCAACAACAATCTCGACCATCTCAGTCGAGAGGATCGGCAGCATCAACCCCGGTGCCAATAGGGACTGCTACTTCTACATTTCAGCCTAGGGGAGCAACTTCTTCTGCTCCTAGAGCCTCAGTGCTGCAGATTGTCAGATGTTTCAGGTGTGGTGGGCCACACTACTTGAGCCAGTGCCCACAAGCTGATGTCAGGGTTTGCTTCTCGTGCCAGCAGCCAGGGCATCTTGCTAGGGACTGTCCTACGCCTAGTGGGGCAGTTTCATCTTCTGCTAGCGCCTTGCACGCTGTTAGGCCTAAAGCGACTAGGACTCCAACGACAACCAGATTGAGAGCAGAGGGACGTGTATTCACTACTTCTGCATCAGAGGCAGCTCAGGCAACGGATCTCGTTCAGGGGACAGCGTAGTGGCAGGTACTTCTCTTTCTGTATTGTTTGATTCTGGAGCCACACACTTTTTTATTGCGGACATTTGTGTAAGAACCTTATGGTTACCAGTGAACGATGTAGGATGTGAATTGGTAGTATCGACACCTACTTTAAGTTTGATTAAGACTTCGACGGTTTGTGTTAGGTGCCCCATAGTAATTGAGGGACGAAAGTACAAAGTAAACCTTATTTGTATCCCGATGTCAGGGTTAGATGTAATCCTGGGTATGGATTGGCTAACTGCCAATCGTGTGCTAATTGATTGTGGCCAGAGGTGTTTAATCTTTCCTGAGCAACAAGGCTGTGTGGAATTAATTTCTACTCGCCAGGTAGAAACATCCTTAGGTGAGGGAGTATCTTGTTTTGTTTTGTTGGGAGTTATGAATGTAGAAGTGGAGCAAAGCCTTCAGTCAATACCAGTAGTACGAGAGTTTCCTGAGATTTTTCCAGAGGATATTCCTGGAATACCTCCACGTAGAGAGGTGGAGTTTTCTATAGATTTGATTCCTGGAGCTGAGCCAGTGTCTGTAGCACCTTACAGAATGGCGCCGAAAGAATTGATGGAGCTTAAGGAGCAGATCGAGGATCTAATGTGGAAACAGATGATTAGGCCGAGTGTATCACCTTGGGGAGCACCAGTTCTCTTAGTGAAAAAGAAGGACGGCAGTTCTAGATTATGTGTTGATTATCGTAAGTTAAATAAGTTGACAATTAAGAATAAGTACCCGTTGCCGCGAATCGATGATTTGATGGACCAGCTGAGAGGTGCTAAGGTATTCTCTAAGATTGATTTGAAGTCTGGGTACCATCAGATCCGAGTGAAGGATGAAGATATTCCTAAGACTGCTTTTCGCACTAGATATGGCCACTATGAATATATAGTGATGCCTTTTGGAGTCACAAATGCTCCAGCTGTGTTTATGGACTACATGAATCAGATCTTTAGACCTTTCCTGGATCAATTTATGGTAGTCTTTATTGATGATGTTTTGATTTATTTTAGTTCGTCAGAGGAACATGCAGAGCATTTGAGGACTGTACTTAGTATTTTAAGGGAAAAACAATTGTATGCTAAACTGTCTAAGTGTGAGTTTTGGCTAGAGGAAGTGAAGTTCCTTGGCCATGTTATATCCGCTAAGGGAATTGCAGTTGATCCTTCCAAAGTTGAAGCGGTGTTGCAGTGGGAAAGGCCTAAGATAGCTACAGAGATTCGTAGTTTTGTGGGCCTAGCAGGCTACTACCGGAGATTTATAAAGGGATTTGCGAAGATAGCTGCACCATTAACACGGTTAACTCGCCGTGATCAACCCTTTGTATGGACTGAGGAATGTGAACAAAGCTTTAATGAGTTGAAGCAGAGACTAACTTCCTCGCCAGTGCTGATTCTCCCTGATACTAGTCGACCATTTGAGGTGTACTGTGATGCTTCCCATCAGGGATTGGGATATGTGTTAATGCAAGATAAGAGAGTGGTAGCTTATGCATCTCGCCAATTGCAAACTCATGAGCGAAATTACCCGATTCATGATCTTGAGTTAGCTGCTGTAGTCTTTGCTCTGAAGGTGTGGCGGCACTATCTTTATGGAGCTCAGTTTGATGTATATAGTGATCACAAGAGTCTGAAGTATTTATTTGATCAACGAGAGTTAAATATGAGGCAGAGACGTTGGGTGGAATTCCTTAAGGATTATGATTTTCAGCTCCAATACCATCTAGGAAAAGCTAACGTGGTGGCCGATGCATTAAGTAGGAATGTGGTTCAGGCATTCTTCTTAAGAGTTAGTGAAACTCTTTTGGTAGAACAATTTTGAGACCTGAACATACATGTAGACTTATCACCTGAAAAGATTAGTTGCAGCCGAATTGTGGTGACTAATAATTTCTTACAGGAAATTAAAGACAAACAACTGTGGGATCCGATGTTATGTTGGATTGTATTTCTCTTAGGGACAGATAAAGCAAAGGGTTTTAGTAAAGGTGCTGATGGTATTCTCAAATGCCAAGGTCGAGTTTGTGTCCCTAGAGATACTGAATTAAAGAAAGCAATTCTATAAGAAGGACATAAGGGTAATCTCAACATTCATCCTGGTGTTACCAAGATGTATCAAGATCTAAAGCAGATGTTTTGGTGGCCAGGCATGAAGCGAGAGATAGCTGAATTTGTTAAAGCTTGTTTGACTTGCCAGAAGGCAAAGGCGGAGCACCAAAGCCCTCCAGGAGAGTTGCAGACAATGGAAATTTCAGAGTGGAAGTGGGACCATGTGACTATAGACTTTGTGTCCCATCTACCTAGAACAGTTAAAAATCATGATGCCGTGTGGGTCATAGTTGATAGGCTAACCAAGAGTGCGCATTTCTTGCCAATTAACATGACCTTTAGCTTGGAGAAATTAGCAGAATTGTACATTAGAGAGATTGTCAGGTTACATAGAGTACCTTCTAGTATTATCTCTGATAGGGATCCTCGATTCACTTCCCAGTTTTGGCAGAGTTTCCAAGAAGCTATGGGCACACAGTTGAGGTTGAGTTCTGCATATCATCCGCAGACAGATGGTCAATCTGAGCGTACTATTCAGACCTTAGAGGATTTATTGCGGACTTGTATTGTAGAGCAGAAGAGTAATTGGGAGGATATGCTTCCTTTGGTAGAATTCACTTATAATAATAGCTACCATTCGAGTATAGATATGGCACCATTTGAAGCTCTATATGGTAGAAGGTGTAGAACCCCTATCTGTTGGTTCCAAGATCGAGTACATTTGATGGTTGGGCCTGAAATGCTGCAAGAAACTAAGTAGAAAGTTGAACTTATTAGAGAAAAGCTTAGAGCTACCCAGAGTCGACAGAAATCTAATACTGACCGACGCAGAAGATCCCTAGAATTTGAGGTTGGTGATCACGTATTCCTGAGAGTATCACGCACTACAGGTGATGAATCCACATTTTACTACATTTTTATACATCATTTATTACTTTTTATAGAAAAGAATAGACTTAGATAGTGTAAATAAGATGAATATTCCAATTAGGCTAAATAATATAGGTTTCTTAGGTTTTTGTTAATTTACATGAATTTAGATAGTTTATTTTACATATTTTGATCATTTGAATAATATGGCAGGAATCCCTAAGCTTATTTTGAAGAATTATTGGATTTTGAGGAATTTGGGGTGAAAGTAACTACTTTCAAAATTGATAGTGACAACTACAGCAAGCCACTTCCAGCAACAGGTGTGGGGCGAGCCTTAAGAGCTAAGAAGTTAACACCTAAGTTCATAGGACCGTATTAGATATTACATCGTAGAGGACCAGTAGCCTATGAATTAGCGTTACCACCTCAGTTGTCAGGACTACATAATGTTTTCCATGTGTCGCAGCTAAGAAAGTATGTTTCTGATTCGTCTCATGTAATTGAGCCTGATGTTGTGGAGTTACGAGATGATTTGTCTGTGGAGGTCCCAGCTGCTCGTAAATTATAGAGGTCCCAGCTGCTCGTAAACTAAGAATGAGAGAGTTGTACCCTCATCTTTTCTCTGAGCGATGAAATTTTTTAGGACAAAAATTTATTTTCGGGAGGAGAATTGTCAGGCCTATGATTTATTATTGAGTAATCTATAATATTTTATACTTGTTAAATGTTAATTGAAGGATTATTTGGTATTGGAATAGATTTAGATGAAGTTTGAAATTATTTTAAAAAAAAATGAACAATACCGTATGAACAGTGTCAGATGAATAGTAAAACCGCCTATGAACAGTGCAAATTGCGTACAAACCGTTTATGAACAGTGCAAACCGCGTATGAACAGTGAAAACCGCGTATGTACAGTGACTGCTGACGTCATCAGTGACATCATGGCTGACGTCACATATGCGTACAGTGCGTGTACAGTACGCGTGCACAGTATTTCCGGCATGAATAGTGCCCTGAACAGTGTTTCCGGCATGAACAGTAAGGCGATGAATAGTGTTTCCGGCGATGAACAGTAATTCTGGCGGTGAACAGTAAATTTCAAAAATTTTCTATAAAAAGGGGGCTTCACACGAAATTTTCATTTCTTCACCCCTATCCAAGGTTCTCAAAGGTTCTAAGGCCAAATACCACCATTTCTCTCATACTAAACCTTCCTAAACTTAAATTTCTCATCATATCTGAGATTCTACGTCTATTTTGAAGAATTTGAAGTAAGTTTCTTTAAGTTTGAAGCTAGATTTACCGTTCGTTTCTCTTCTCCTCCTCTTTCTCATAGAAGTTCATGGTGTTCTTAGGAGAAACTTCATTCTAAAGCCGAATCTTCGGTGAATCTTGCATTAAAACAAGTAATATTCGGTAGATCTAGTGTGAATCATCTTTCTGAGGTAAGGGGAGTTTACTTTAACCTATGAACTACGTTTTGAACGGTTTAATATGTTATTTCAAGATGTTTTAATATAATTTTGTTAGATCTATTGAATAAAAGCTATTTTCTAAGCTGTAACTGCTGTTAATTGATTTAAAATGCTGAGATTTTGGCTGATCTACTATAAACTTACCTTAATTGAGCTATTAAAATAATTTTGGCGGTGTGCATCATGCTAAGATATGTTTTGCATCATTATAGAGCCGAGTTACATGTTTAGGTGGGTAGACATGTAACGGTAAGTTCATGCTGAGCTGTTGTGCTGTGCTGTCTGGATCCAGATACCGGAATGGGTTGCTCCCGGACCGGCTCGGCTCCTTCTGGATTACTTAGGCTGTGAAACCAGTTGGAAACCATTTTCATGATGTGCATTAGATGGGCTGGAAATGCATAGGATTATTGCTGTGAGAAATATTTTGCTCTATATATATGATTTTATTTTATGTTTGGTAAGCTCACCCTTGCATTTTTTCTATGTTGTTGTGTGCGTGTGTACTGCGATGATCGTACGGTGGTACGTGAGCAGATGTTGCATCTACTTCACAGGCTGAGGGGCCAGTGAAGAAATGTTAGAAGCTGGGGTCGAGTAATATTTCATCAAAGTCTTTTTTTTTCCTTATATTTTGAGACTTCATGTAGAGGGAGCTACGTAGTATAATTTTGGGTATTTTGAATATTATGAACTAAATGTAATATTGTGTTGTTTTATTGGATATTTGTTGTAAGAAACTCTGTTTTATTTTGAATGAGAAGAGAATTTTATACTTATATTCTCTATACTTTATTTATTTTAAATAAGTTTGTGTTGTAGAAACAATGTTCTCGGTTCCTTATAAAAGGAGTCGTGACAGGAGGAGCTCTCGCTATAGCTAGAATGACAGACAGCAAAGTGAAATTTTATTTAATTTTTTCATTGCAACGAGAATCTCTCACTATAGTGAGAATTGGCTTGTTGTAGTGAGAATGTCACGAGTTAAGAGGTATTTAAGGGTTTTCAAGTTGAGAAACTTGGATTATAATCCAAGTTACGACCCTCTTCATTCTCTTTGACCTCTCCTCATTTTCTCAGAAAATTCTCTTTATTTGATTAAAACTAGAAGTATATTTATATATCATCATCTATATTTGTTTAATTTCTCTTTATTTTTTTGATAAATTCTTTGTTTAATTATAGGAACTTGAAAGTGCAAATGCTCCTGAAGAAAATACTTTGATTCCTAATAATACTCAATCATTAACTATTCAGTCTATAGCAAGTTCTACTACATTTCGTAGGAAAATTGATATTGCATGGGAGCATTATACATAAAAAAAGGAAGAAAAAATAATGTGTATTTCACTTGGGATCGACATATAGAAGAGAAGGCATAATAGGATGGAACAACATCTTGCAAACGTATCTGGTCAAATAAGCTCGTACTATCACGACCCTTTTTTTGTAAAGAATTAATGACATCCTGCATTACTACTCCTAATTCAAATTCGAGATGATACATGTATAGTATGAAAAATATAATTTTCAAAAATTAACTTCAACGTCTCAACAATAGAGTAATAGAGCCCCAAGAGCATTTTTATATAATCCCAAAAATTATGTAAGTATATTTTTTTTACAACAATTGCTCTATATGGATCTCAAAATACAAATTTATAAATAATATTTACATTCTTTAAAAACTGTAGCTAAGCAGTCCAGATCTATCACTAAGACCTAGACTAAAAAAAATTAAAGCTACAATTTTCCCCAAAAGTATGTCAGATTTTTCATTCCTCAGCCAAGCCTTCCAACATGAGAAGTAGCTAAAACACCTGTCACATTTGCTCACGTACCACCGTACGATTATTACAACACACCCACACACCAACACAGACAATATGCAAGGGTAAGCTTATGAAATAACCATCATAAACATAATGAGCAGAATGCGAACACAAACATTTATACAACTTATTATTTCAATAGTTTTCGACACCTAACACATCAATACAACCTATTACCAACTCATTTAAATGCAAATTGTAACAACTCAGCTCCAACTAGCGTCACAGTCTTAGTAATTTAGAAGGAACTAACAACTTTCTGGTCTAGGAGCAACCCATCTCAATACATAAATCCAGATAAAGCATGACTTAACTCAGCCTGTTTCCTAATCATTACATTTCTACGCCCTCAACTCGGCATGTTTTCCAATCACTACATGCCTACACCCTCAACTCAGCATGTTTTTCAATCACTACATGCCTACACCTTTAAATATGTGACTCAGCCCCAGTATGGCAACCTATCATACAATTGCAACACAATCATATAGTAAGCATTTCACACATCATTTCATAACACTTATTAATCAGTCTCAACAATACAAGCATATATATGTTCACAACAAAACCAAGCATCTTGTAGTACTAATCAAGTATTTCAACACATATTAAACATTTTTAGCACATATTACATCTTCTCTACATGTTATGTTCTACCGTGGCATTTCAAACATTCATCTCAAACAGGGATTATTTCTTACCATTCACAAAACAACAGAGATTCTACTCAGTCAAAATACTTTGGGTTCTACCCTAAGGTTTGTTTATACGTCAATCATTCTTAGAGAAAGTAAGATTATGAACGATATCCTAATACCTAAGTAAGTAAAAAGACATTCTAGGGTAAGCTCCCCTTACCTAGAATGGGTTTCAAAGATTGTACTTCTCATGAGTCTCAAAGAGATAGATTCAACGTTCGAATATGGAATAGGCTAGAAAGATTCAGATCTACATAGAATGACATGGTAGAAAACTCTTGAGAAAGAGAAAACAAAGAACAAGAAATGTAGATGGAGAACTGGGCTCCAGAAACTCACCTAGATCTTGATGAGATAAATGTTCTCACTTGGATTCAAAAGAAGCCTAACTTTGGGAAGGTTTTCTCTGAGGAGGGAGGGTGGAAGAACAGAGAGAAAGTGAGAGGGAAGGATGTTGCTATACTAGATAATGAATCTTTCTTGTTATTTGTTATTTTTGTTGCAGCGATAATTTTCTCGCTCCAGCGAGAGTGTTAGTTGGATCAACCTTATCCACTCCTTGCTGCAATGAGAATTTCTCACTGCAGCAAGAGTCCTCCAGAGAGCCTAATTCTAGACAACTTGTCTCGGCGAGACATCCTGAAATTTACACCAATTTAACCTTACTCAAGCTAAATAACATGCATCAATTTTTCACCTAATAATTATATAGTTCACATATGTAAAAATTCAAGCAACTTCATACTCCATTCAATCTCATAACATCATATAACAAAACACACACACAAAAATTATATATATATATGTATATATATATATATAAGATAATTACAATACCATTTTAAAGGAATACTAAATATACTTATAATATAGACCTGACACATGCAAAAAAGTCCCTCATGATGTTCATCATTGAATGCTAGATTCATTGAAAAATATCCAAGAAAAGATGTAAAATGATGATTTGAGTGAAACATATGATGATCAAGTTGTTGAAGAGGAAGTCTAAGAAATTCAAACTTGCTCACCAAAGATGCAATTAACTTCTCAGAATAAAGGAAAAAGGAAAGCTAATGTTGAAATCAGTAGTCTTTAAGAACAACTCCTAGATCCCGACCAACTTCAAAAGTTTATTATCTAGCAAGGAGGCAATACATAAAGTTAAGTTAGCAATTGCGAGATGGTTTTTTTATGCTTGCATTCCATTTAATGTAATACAATCACCATACTTTCAACCTGCTTTAGATGCAATAATTGATATTGGACCTGGTTTTAAAGGTCTATCTTATCATGAATAAGAGTTAACTTATTGAGATTGCAAAAAGTGTCAATTACGAGTAAAAGGTCATTGATCTAATTGGGCTAAGAGTGGATGTACAATATTGACTGATGGATGAAGTGATCAAAGGCAAAGAACTTTGATAAACTTCCTAGTTTATTGCCTTATAGGTAAAACATTTATGAAACATTACTTCTGTTATTAATAATGCAAATAACTTTTTAGTTAAAATATTTGTGGGAAACTTTTTGGTTTTTTCTTGTTTTGATTCATGTTTTATT